ACATGGGAATGAACATCTTCTAGTTCCAGGCAGGTTGCCTGTCACAGGAAGGCTCTCTGTGTTACTGAGCTTGTATTCTGTGATTTCTACATGTGGATGTGTGTGGTCCTTTTGCTTGAAATATCCATATCTTCTGTTATTATTATTATTCTTGTTTCTATTTCATTTTAGTTACCATTTTAACTGTATAGATTCAAGAATCACTGGGTTTCTAATTATAGAAATCCTAGTGTTTCTAAATATAGAAATGAGTCTTACGCACATTTAAAAAAAATCACATTAAAATATTCCATGAAAGGGAAAATAGCTCTTCAAATCTTATTCATTCTGGACGTTTGCTTTCCAAGTATTCTTTATAAGGGAGGCAGTTAAGGTTAATTCTACGTTTATACTTTCTTCTCCTACGATAATTTGCAAGTGATGTCTATCAATTTTTCAAAAAATTTAAATCCGCCCCCTTAAAAAATTCAGGTATTTCCTCTGCCACATGCATATACATGATTGACTTAAACTCACCATTCATCAGGCTGCCAGATTTATATTGTAAATTATTGTCCATCTTCATGGTGTGCTTAAAAGTCGAGTAGAGAAAGTCACCTAGCATTATTTCCTTCAGAATTCTATTTCTTGTTCCAATTTATGCTTGTAGATGAATGTTGGAATCAGCACTATTGGAAGTAAAATACTATTGGATTTTTTATCAGAGATTCTCTTAACGTTTTAAACTAATTTAGAAAAAAAAATGACATCATTTCAACATTCAGATTCTCATATCAGTAGCAGGAATTTGCCTCCATGCATTTCAGTTTCTTTTTAGGAAATTATTTCTGATTTTAAAAAGAAAATGTAGATCATGTTCACTTCTTGTTTATAATATTGAGTGTATTTAAGCCTTAATGCTGTTAGGAATGATGATTCTCAATATCATATCCACTTTTGTGATTATATTTAGGAAATGTTTGGTTTTTTTTTGTGTGTATGTGTGTGTGTGTGTGTGTGTTTGTGTGTGTTGATGATATGTCATGTAATTTTTCTGGGCTTTCTTTTAATTTCATGATTTTTTTTGTAAAAATCTACTTTGACTAAATAATATCACTTTATAACACCTATCCTTGTTATTTGATTTATTTTATTGCTTTGAAATTCCAGATCCTTGTTAAGGTTTTGTGTAAGAGATGGAATTCTTTGTTTTGTCACATAATATGATACTTGAATCATATTAAATTGTATGATATTAAAATTATGTAATTTTAATTCCATGAATATGCATTGCTTATTCCTGCATACTTTGGAGGAGCATTTTAAAATTTTTCTGTAAGAGTGTAATGACTTATTAACCATTTGAAAAATATAATGTTGAATGCAGTCTCCATTATCCCAAGTAAATTTTAAGACTTCAATGTGAAGCAAGAGACGAAAGCAGCTACGTAATGAAAATACAATGTAAAAATAAAATAAACATCTACATGGGCATGAGTAATCTGTAAAAGTAGAGGAACATTCTGACCAAAAAATTTTTTGCACAAGTGAAAAAAAACTTCACTAGTTAGGACTTTATATTGAAAACATCTGAAGAAAAAGTGCACAAAGTAGAAAATTGCAAAGATAATCTATTTAGTTAGTCAAATAATGTATTTCAATACTAAAGTCTCACTTATAATTTAAGATTCACACATTGCTTAGAAAAAGGTCAAGAGAGTTAAAGATTCATTAAAGGAAATGTAAAAAGGATATTAAATGAGCAGATTTTCATTCTTATCATTAATTTATAAAAGTGTAATAAAAATAAGATTCTGTTTTCATGGAATTAATTGAGAAGGCCTTTTTCAAAAATAGTAACCATGCCAAATTCTGTGATGGGGAAAGGAAGTAATATTTCAGGTACTGATATGTGAGGATACTTGGTCCACCTTTCTGGGCTGCAGAAATTAAATCAGCAAATATCCCTTTTATATATTCTACAAGAGTCACCAGCATATGACCAGGGATCTCCTGGAGTATTGACATCATTGTTTCTTTTTTGGATTTGCTTCTTAATATATCATATAAAGACTGAAAATGAATAATAAGTCATCTATTCTTAAGAAATAGAAAATTTTAAACTTAAAATTGTTGGAAATAAAAATACCACTAGGCAAAACTAAAGCAGCAAGGAGCATAAAATGAAGGTAAAAGCAGAGCTAGAGGACTAAAAAGGAGAAAGATCCTAGAATAAAAAAACCCCACAAATTCCAGAACAAATTCTATAGCATCCACAACTAGAAAAAGTCAGACATCAAATGAAATGGATWAAAGGAGACAAGAGGAGGAAGGAGTAGGGTTTGAATCAGAGCAAATAAATTTCCATCATGTGTGATTATGTAAAATGACCCCATTTTATTATGTAAAACTACAATGCACTACTAAAACTCTTAAAGAAGACAAAGATGAATTGAAATGTCTAGAATTAGGAATGAGGAAAATGAACACAGAGGTAAGGAAATGCTCAAACTTACAAGATAATATTTCTTAAAACTCTAAATTGCATATGGTAATTCATAGTAATCAGGTGGGGGCTAGGGAAGAATAGATGTACTTGGGGTTAGACAGAGGGGAGTGGGGGGAGAGGGCATGGGGGTTGTAAGGAGAGTAGAATGAATTGGACATTACTACCCTATGTGCATATATGATTACACCAGCTGTGTGACTCTACATCATGTGCAATCAGAAAAGTGAGAAGTTGTACTCCGTTTATGTATGATGTATCAGAATGCATCCTACTGTCATGTATGACTAATTAGAACAAATAAAAAATAAATAAAATAAAATACTCTGTCCCAGAGTAGAACTTATTTCTAGGAATTGTCCAAAGTTGATGGAGGATAACAAATCAACAACCACGGAAATTATAAGACTTACCTGGCAGGACCTTTAGGTGGGTGCAGAAGCAGAATTCTTCTTTAAATAAAAAAGAAAACTAAGTCTGTCATCACTAATCATTTGTCAGCAGTCTGGAAATGCAAACCAATGCAATAGATGGAGAAAAAGGCACCAGAGATCTGAATATGGAAAAGGCAAGATGTCTATTGGGGAATGATCTTGGCCAAATTTTTTCTGTTGTTATATCGTGTGCATGTATGAATATGAACCAACAAATCCCACCTATGTACAACCATAATGCACCTGTAAAAAACAGAGGAGAGGCAAGATATCATTGCTTATGGAGGATGGAGTGGCTGCAGATGACAGATTGGTAGCTGTGAACTTATTGTAACTGGATGTGATTTTACTAAGGCCATTCAGACAAAGCCAATGTGTAAAAAGCAGAGGCCACTGTAGGTGGCACAAAGCAGATAGCACTTTGAGATCTTTGGCAGATATTGCTTCTCTCTAGTTATGAATTTCCATTTTCAGTTCTAACAGAGAACCCTCAGTATTCTCTGTAACTTTTGCACTCATCTAACTTATTCAAAAAAATAAAACAGTCAACAAGAGCAGCAAAAATTTGCATTTCTACACACAGTAGAAATGAGTGCTCTTCAAGGTCCAACATTCCAAATATTAATGAAATCTACAACACATAGAATGGGGACCAAAACCTTACAAACACCCAACAAATGCGAGATTAATATGTATAATTACTGGAGGACCTGCCTGTGTTCAGCACTTGTGTTATATTTTATACGCCTTGATTCATTTCATCATCACTGCTGTTTTTATATGATGTGAACAAATGTGTTATAATAATGCAATGATAATAATAAACAGGTGTATGCCCTACTAACTGTTCGAGTATTATTGTTTTTCATACCTGATTTACTTTAACTTCACCCCAATATGGTTCCTATGAAGTGAACACTATTTTAATCATTACTTTATAAATATGGAGACTGAGACAAAAAAATAAATAACTTGATGTCAGAAGATGTATAGTTGGACTTGTGTTAGCCACACAATATACACAAGGAGCTATTGAGTGAAAGAAGGAGTAGTTTTATACATAAAAGAAAAAGAAACTCCTCCGATGGAGGGGAACACAGACCCCTTTAGTGGTGCCAGAACAATAGTGAAACTGGCTATTAGGAAAAGCTTGAGAGGTGGTCCTTCATCAGCCACGTGAGAGATCCTCAGAACGGGGTTCAAGAAAAGAGAGTGAGATGAGAAGAAGTGGAGAGGGAGAGAAGTCGAGAGAGACACAGGAGCTGACTGCACAGACGGCTCTAAGTGAGGGGCCCCTCCTCACTGCAGTGTCCCCACTTGGGCCACCAAGGCTCGTCCTGTGAGCACTGTGCTGCCTCCTACCTGCTCCCACATGAGCAGCCCNTTGGTCAAGAGTATTATTTATTTGATCAAAATGAAGTAAGTTTCTCTCTAAGTGCCAAAAATAATAATAAAAGGAAGTTGTAGGAAAGATCTTAAATTGTAGTGGTCTTTAAAGGAGAATATAGATGAATCCTCTGAGTATATACCTAGATGGAATGAAAAATGAATAGAACTAAAAACATAACTGATGAATTCCAGCATGTTAAACAAGTGTTATTCAAGAAATAAGAAAATAAAAAACCAATGGAAGTCTAGGGAATGTATTTAGACCACAATAGACATTTTAAAACATAACAATGTGGATATATTAACTGCTTAGTGTCAATTRGAATTAAATATATTTTATGCTATATGATCCAAGGAAGTGAGCCAGACATACAGAAAGAATAAAYGCAAGGAGATCATGACACAATCACCTTGTCACCTGAAGATGTGCCGCTGTGCTGGCTATACTTCAGGGAAGAAGGAATGAAGTAAAACATAAAAACCATGAAAATATGCTCATCTTCACTAACAATCCAAGGCARTGCTGTGGTTGGATATGTGGCGTTCCCCAGAGCTCAGTTGTGGGACAAGGCAAAAGTGTTCAGAGGTGGAGAGAGTTCACAGGTGATCTAATATGTCGCATTATGAACAGTACCTAGGTGGGAATGAGCCCACAGGAAGATGTAAGGAAAATAAAAAGGAGACCCAGAGACAAGATGCAGAGGCAGAATATCAGATGGCAGAATTCTCCTTGTCTAATCTGCCAGCTTTATTTATATCAATAGGTTACATTAGGTCACTGACATCAGTAGTACATTWTCGTTCATTGTGTCATTAGGCAGCTTATAGGTTTAGCAACATTATGCAGCTTGTTCCACAGTTACTTACTATAGTTGCAATGTGCAATGTTAGGAGTTTTGTGTAGCTCTGGGAAAGCCCATTGTTTAAAGTTACTGTTATGTGGACAGGTTCAGGTGCAGTGGAGCTGGGAGAAACATTGTGGTTGTCTAAGGAGAGTTTCCTTATTCCCAGGAGCTGTGTGAGTGAGATCAAAGCTGAGGCTGATAAGACTCTAGCACAGAGCCTCCTCATGCAGAGCATTGCTATAGCTGCTAGGCATCCTGTGTCTTTGCACAGAAGTTTTCCTAGCACCAAGGAATTCTGTCTTTGTAAGAAACTTCCCATCCACCAAGCATGTCATAGTCTTGAAACTATCAGAGACCCCAATCCCAAACACAGAACCCTTACAGGAAGATGCAAAGAATGAGTTGCCCTAAAATACACAAAGCAGAGGTAGCCACAGTTGGATGGACGAGGTGAAGTTCTCTGGTCTCCATTATGGTGCACCCTGTGACTCAGGAGAGACGTGCATCCACCCTTTCACTGAGAGGCACCATTTTGCTGAGGACTCTCACCAGGGCCACCTTGATGTCCCTGTTCCTCAGRCTGTAAATGAAAGGGTTCAGCATGGGGGTGAGCATGGTGTAGAGCACTGAAGCCATGAGACTCATCCTAGAGGATGGTGTAGCAGCAGAACTGAGGTAGACCCCAAGGCCAGTGCCATAGAACAAGGAGACCACCAGGAGGTGAGACCCACAGGTGGAGAAGGCTTTGTACTTGCCTCTGTCTGATGAGATCCTCAGGATGGAGGAGAAAATCTGAGARTAGGAVARGAGGATGCCAGTGAGAGGGAAGACACCCAGGACGATGGYCACAGWGWACAYCACTATGTWGTTGATGAGTGTGTCAGAGCAGGTGAGCTTCAGAACTTCGGTAAGATCACAGAAGAAGTGAGGGATTTCTATGTTGGTGCAAAAGGACAGCCTCAAGATGGTCAAGGTCTCTGGAAGGGCACCCAGGATACTGACCAACCAGGACCCCAGAGCCATGAGCAGACAGACCTGTGGGTTCATAATAACCATGTAGTGCAGGGGGTGACAGATGGCCAAGAAGCGGTCATAGGCCATCACTGTCAGGAGCAAATTGTCTTGGCATCCAAACAAAATAAAATAATAAATCTGTGAGACGCAGCCTGCAAAGGTGATCCCTTTGCTGTGAGTGTGCATGTTCCTGAGAGCCTTGGGGATGGTGGTGGAGGTGAAGCCAATGTCRGCCAGGGACAGGTTGGAGAGGAAGAAGTACATGGGTGTGTGCAGGTGGGAGTCTGAGATGACACCCAGGATGATGAGCAGGTTTCCTGTGACTGTGACCAGGTACATGGCCAGAAGCAGGCCAAAGAGGAGGGACTGCAGGTCAGGGTCATCTGTGAATCCCAGGAGGACAAACTTGCTAGTTTCCGTTTGGTTTCCTCTTTCCATGGGATTTCTGGGTTTCCTGAGAAGGAGGGAGAAGAGGAACTCAAAATTCACTCTAAATAGGGATTCCCCAGAATGACCCCAGCATCTTTTATTGAAACATCAAGAACTCAAGAAATCACATATTTTGTCTTATCTTTGGGTCTCTTTGCCGACAAGTTGAAGTTACTACGTTAAACCAAGGAGAACTGGCTCTAGTCCAGTGATTCTCTAACGGTGTTCCCAGATCAGCCACCTGGGTGTCACCTGGAAACTTGGTGGAAATGTGCATCTTCAGACCCACAGGACCAGCTGAGCCTCAGATTCTGGGTTGGAGCATCCTCTGGGTTATTAGGCCCTCTGGGGATTCTGATGCACATGTCTGTTTGTAGGCTCCAGCTCCTGTGCCTGCTGCATCCCTGTAGCCAATCCTTCCTCAGTGTCCTGGTGGCTGCTCTGGGGTGTTCTTCCTACTGCACATGGGCAGGCGAGCTTCCTAGCTGTAGGCAGGCACATCTGTGAGTGGAAGACTCTTTATTTTATGGGGACTTCAGTGCTCCTTCTGGTAAAAATATTGATACCCCCTGTGAGTGTTCATCATTGGCATTTCATTTTAAGAATTTTTATCTTTGTATTAGTGCATTACAGTCATGCATAATATTGGGGTTCATTTTGGCATAATCATACCAGCAGGGAACATAATTTGCTGCACTGCAGTCCTCAGTCCTACCACTTTCATGACACAAATCTAACAAAGATGGATTTGCAAAATATAGAAATCCTAAGCCATGTGTGGTGCTGCACACCTGTAATCCCAGTGACTYAGGAGGCTGAGGCAGAAGGRTCACATGTTCAAGGGTAGCCTCAGAAATAGAGTGAGACCCTAAGCAACTTAGCAAGCWCTTGTTTAAAAAAAAAAGAATAAAGCTGGGAATGTATCTCAGTGGTAAAGTGCCCCCGAGTTAAATCCCCAGTACCAAAATAAAAAGTTAATTAACAAATAACTAAGCAAATATAGAAACCCCAGGGTTTCTAAACATAAAAGTGAGTCTTTGGCACATTTTTAATCTTCCAAAACCATTTAAAATATTTTAGCACATGGAAATGGCTTTTTCAACCTTCCCACTTTGGACATTTATATTCTTTCTAAATTTTTTTAGGACAAATATAGTTTGGATTTGTTTTCATTTTATATTTTCTCTTGTTAGAATAGCCCATAAATTACCTCTGTCAAAAAATTAAKTTATTTCCTGTGTCTTATTCATATAAATAATTGATTAAAAATGGTCATTTGCAGGCTATCAGATCTAGATGTAAAATAACTATGTAAAGTAACTATCTTCATTATATACTTTAAAAGATGAATAGAAAATGTYATCCAATATCATTTCTTTCATAATTTTACTTCTGGTACGAGTTTATTTTCATAGATGGATTTTAGAATCAGTCCTATTKGAAGGAAAAATAAAAGGAGCTTGATTAGTGATCCCTTAAAATTTTAAATTAATTGGGAATAAGTTGACATCATTACAATGCTTGTATTTCTCCTTCCAGTGGCAAGAATTYCCCTCTAGAGTTTTTGGTCCCTGTTTGTGTAAACTTTCCAGAAGTTTTCTTTTAAACAAAATTAAATTATGTTCATTTCTTGTAACAGTTGATGTATTTTAGGTTTAATGTTGTTAATAATGATCATCCCTATGATTTATCTCTACCATTGCTGTTATATTCAGAAAGCTTTTGATTTTTAAATGTGATGAGGTTTTTCTTATTAATGCTCTGATTTTTCTAAGATAATTTTAATTTATAACATATTTATTTTGTTCCCATTGTAGTGTTTTGAAATTCCAGATCCTTGTAAGATACGGAATTCTCCTATTTCTTCCTTTCTTTCTTGGAAATCACCCCAGGGTTTTGTCCTGTAATGTGATGCTCATTCTCAGATTAAATTGCTCACATTAAATATGGTCTTTTTATTCTTGTAAACTGCATGGTTCACTCCTAGAAGAGGATTTTTAAAGGTATCAATAAGTGTATAATGATTTATGAAGTATTTCAGAAAATAATGTATAGTCTAATATTGCATTCTGAAATAAATTTCAAACATTCTATATGGAACAGGAGTTTAAAGGAGCTAATTGCAAAATAMACAATAAAAGCAGTACAAATTTATACATGGATTTAAATAATCTTTGAAAGTAGAAGCACTTTCTGAATGAATTTTTTGGTCTAGATAAAAGGAGAAAAAGTAATTAGAAGTATACCTTGAAAACATCTGAAGGAGAAAATGGGACTTGCAGAAAATCAAGAGTGCAAAAATAATCTATTCCGTTAGTCAAAGACAAGAGCTTTGATTGATTGATTGATTGATTGATTGATTTGGCACTGAGGGTTGAACGGGGGTGCTTAACCACTGAGCCACACCCCGGCCCAAAGGGAGGCACCTGAGGGAATGAATGAACGAATGAGTACAATATTATAGATAAAAGAAAAAGAAGTGTCTTTGGTAGAGGAGGGTCAAGGCACTTGTAGTGGTTCCAAAAAGTGCCCAACATGGCTGGGACCTCAGATGAGAACAGAGTCACCAGGAGGGTGAGAGATCCTCAGACGTGGGCTCCAGAAGAAAGAAGGAAGAGAAGAAGCTGAGAGGGGGAGAAGTCAAGGGACTGCAGTGTCCCCACTTGGGCCACCAAGGCTTGTCCTGTGAGCCCTGTGCTGCCTCCTACCTGCTCCCACATCAGYAGCCCCAGGGGTGGTGAGCTCCTGSTCCTCCTTCCCTGGGTGATGAGGGTCAGCTCAGCTCTGATGAAGGGCAGGAGGAGGTGTCAGGCGTGGTGCACTTCAAGGTCCAGGTGAAGCCACTCATTTCTGGCAGAGCCGAGCTGTGGGTGAGAGGATCACGGAGCATATTTGCTATTTCCAGGATCTCAGAGGGTGAATTCCCATGAGTATTCATTAAATTATTTCTTTCCTTATTGGTCTATTCTCTGAGCAATTACATTCCCATGAGCAAGGAAACTAAAACAGAAAGGTAATTGTGCCTGCACCTAATTTTGCAACCCTGGGACCATCTTGWTTGCCAGCTATGTCTGTCCTTCCCCTGGGGCTGAGGCACATAATGTCATTTTGTCCCTGGACTTGATCTCTATGGATGATTGTCCTTCCCCATGAGTATTTCCTCAAATGTGAGATGGAGCTCCTTGGTCTCTCCCAGGCATGAGCAGGCAGTCTCCAAGCCCTTGTGAGTCCTGCACCTCAAGTGGGAGCTGTGCACAGGACAAATCCAACTCCACACACAGCTCTTACAGTGACCTTGCCCTTCCAATGACCTTGCAAATCTTCTATGTTCACCATCGCAAGTTTAGTGCAGATGAAGTTCTAGGCATCTGGTTAGGGAAGTGCTTTGAGAAGTGGGTTGGCTGGACTGGAAGGAGTCTGTAAGCAGCTGTATGTGTTTCTAAACACGCTGGCTGCATGGTCCTCAGTACTCCAGTGCAGAGTATGAACCATCTTTAACAATTCACAAAACACTGACCTTTATATCCCCATCAATTTTTTTTTTCAGCATTGAAAATTTTTGTTAAAAATGCTCAATTGCAGCCATTAAAATATTTTAAATTTTTGTCTTTTGTTTATTCCATGTGTGCATGTTTTTATATAATATATAATGCATGATATAAATAATTCCACACAATGCTGTGTCCTGGAATACACACTTAAAATATAATGATCATTTCCTTTTATTTCTTTCCTTTTTTGGTACACAAATTTATTTTCTTTTATATATACTATGTCATCAGTGTCTAGAAAATCTGGAGAGACCATGTGGATTTTAAGGAAAAACATGATACTCTTTTGAAGTTATACAGTTTTATGTCATTGTCTGTATGATTACTTGATGTTATAACTAGTTACAAAGAATCAATATCCTTTGTTTATGTGGAAGGTAGTTGCTATTATAACTTCTTTTTTCAGTAAATCAATCAAACCAAAATTCAAATAATGTGGTCAGTAAAATATTATGTCCCAAATTGAAAGACTGTTTGGTCTATTGATCATCTATCTATTTATCTTAACAAGGATCTGATCATTTAGGACAYAATTGAAGGAATGGAACCTGACCTACATAACCTAGAGCTTTATTCTCTGGGACAATAAAACTCTTTAAATAGCAAAATTTAAGAATAAAGAAATAGTCAATACTATTATATTAATACTAGAATTTTACATGCCTTTGTGCTAATTATTTGTGACACACTATCCTTACATCTTTACATAGGGTGTAAGGATAAATGTGGCTACTGATTTTATTATTTAAATACCAATTGAATATGTGACTCCATTTATGCATTTAGAAATATGTTTCTATAAGTGGTACAGAATTTCTACCAGATATAAATTATATCAGAGTTCAAATCCCTTGGTGAATGTGTGTTTTTTATTGTTTGTTATTATGTTTTTTTATACTTGATTTTTATTTGTTGTTTTTAGATACACATGACAGTAGGGTGGATTTTGACATACTATACATACATTTTTAAAACAAGTCTAGAAAATGATAACACATCCTCCATGCCTGGCACACTGAGGACAGACAGCTTTCCTTTAGGGTGACTATGTTTGGCATGAAGGAGCAGGCAACGGGGTGGGACCTTCTCACCAGAAGGAAGGACTTACCACAGCAATTGAAAGAAAATCAGTGGAGAACTTTGCAGRGTACCATGTGCAGAGAGCCCTGCTTGGGAAAACTGTGGCCAAGTGTTTCTACCTGACCATGTATCAGGAATGCTTGCTCTAGGGAGAACTCATAGGTGCTTATTTTAGTAATGTCTGGAGTACTTTGATACATAGTCTCCCTTCTYCCTTCTGACACTGTAGATTATAGGGTCAAGTCTGTGGCTCCACCTTAGCAGCTGTGGAAGTACTTATGGTCCATCTGTTATGGGCTGATAAAAGATAAGTTGGGCTGATCTCATTCTGCTCAGACAGTTCACCCTGTGCAGAATGGGCCCCCCTTTCCTCCTGAG